TAAATCCTTTTAACATTTGTTATCAAAGGTCACAATCCAAATCAAGCCCTACCCATTCTGAATTTTAGCATGGTTACTATGGTTAAATCTGTTGTATTGACGAGCTCACATTAATGTCTCCCAGTATGGGACTCTAAATTCCTCAAGGACTGTCTCTTTCATATGTGCATCTTCAGAGTAGATTCTCAATTCATATTTATTAAAAGAAACTGTGGATGTATTGATGAATGGGTAAGTGAACAAAAGATAACTTACTAAAGGAGAAAATAGTCGTCCCCAGAAAAAAAAGTGAATGCATAGCAAAGTGCTTGGCTATTTAACAAAGGGCTTAATTAGTCTTAGATTACTTAAGTATTATTGGTAATATCTAAATTCTGGATTTTGACATACTGAATAATTAAAATATGACATGAGATGTTAATAAGCTGCAAGTTACAACTTTTGCTTAGATATAAATCTGGTCTATTCTTTTAATGAAAAAGTCCTATAGCTTATGCTTTCACTACGCAATTCAGTTTCTACACAAAGGCAACAGGATGCCAAGCTGCAAATAAGAGAAATCACAGTGTGTCACTGGAAAACCAGTCATAAATGAACTCTGACAGAATCACTTAGCACAAATAGTTCAGGGTAACTGTGTGGATGCATTTGCTGAATCATTTGAAAATAATACAACTTTACAAATCAGCTTTTTAATATAATAAAAAATACTTCAAAATAATGTAGGGATTCCCAGAAATTGAATAAGCACTTTTTAGATATGGACATCTCAAGGCCTCTAAATTAAGGAGAGAGCATATGCCAAAAACTTAAACTTGGGGTTATGAATGAATCCTACAATTCTACAGTTGTCTTCAACTATTTCAACCAGTGACGTGTGCAGTGTGCACACAAAGTCAGGGACCATTAACTATCTGTGGACAAAAGGGAGGGAGAACACAATGAGGAAATCTCAGCTAATTAAAAGAACTGAGATACAACAAATTATTTGAGAATATAATAGTTATCCATGCTGACCAGACTCATCTGGGTCTATGCCTTCCAGACACAATAAACTGTACATTCGGTGCCTTTTGGTGAATTTGAGCCATGGGATCAGATCTGGTCAATGCGTTGGGAGAGGAAGTAAAGTGAGTCCCTCAGGGGTCAGGGCATTTATTACTGGGATGAGGGCCTCCAGAGTGCCATGGTGAAAGGCAATATTTGAAATGGTAGATGCTTCAACAGCCTGGATACAGAATGAGCGATTGAACAGAACTCCCAGCACCTTCCACAGTGAACATGTAGTCTGAGTGAGAAATAAATCCATATCATAAAGTCACTAAGACTTGAAGGTTATTTGCTATCACATAGTGTAGCTTATCCTTACTCACGCATTCAGGCACTTTCCTTCCTGTGATGCCAGGTCCTTTGTATTGTTCATTACATATGATTGTATCCTCACATTAATAATATTTTTAGAATAGGATGATCTTGTAAATATTTGGAGTTAGTCTTCACTATATAAAGCTTTTGGAGAAACCATGACAAAGCCTTACATTTATTCATTGACATACCATAGTCTGGAAAGAAAGTTCCCAGAAACAAAGAGCCTATTTCTCAAAAAGTTGTTTTTTGTTTTTTTGGTTTTTGGTTTTTGTGGGGTTTTTTTTGGTGGTTGTTCATATTTGGACCCTCCTAAGAAAAGTATCAAGAAAGTTACTCATTAAAGAAAAATTAAGAAAAGTCTTTATTTAAAGCAGTTTGAACATATAAAGTAAATGTGAATACCTGTAAAATTGTTCCAGATATATTTTGGTTTCTTCTCATAAATTTAAGCAACGGCCAATTTCTTCTGAGCTAATATCTGGAGTTCAGGGAATGCATATGTCCTACCATGTCCCTTTCAGACTGAAATATCCCAAAGTATCAAAAACACTAGAATTGTGATCTATCTAACCTATTAGGGCTAACTAATAGCCTTAACCTATTAGGGCTAACCTTTTAGTCATTCAGGAACCCTCAGCATCTTAATAAATAGAGTCATAATCTGTAGGTAGAATTAAATCCCCATGAACTATATGAAGTGCCCTGGTACTTTCTAAATGTGACTATCCTCTTTTGTGACAAAGTTCACTTTTAAGATAAGATTTTCTTATCTCTCAATAAAGACATTAATATCATTCATCAGAGTATCAAGAAATTTGACCAAATTTTGAGTCCAGAATAAGTACTAAACTTTTTTTCTTTTTTGTATGCCTTACCAGAGGGTCTCAGTCAACACTTAGAGCAAGCACAGGTACCCCTAAGTATGTTAACTTCATTACACACAACAATGCAAGAAAAATAAAAAACTAATTTAAATCTATTACATCTTCCCAACACATGTAGGTTTCAAATTAGGCAGCTAGAGTCCAAATATTAATCTTATCTCTGCCATTCACTATCTATGTTTTTGGGCAAGTACTAATCTTCTTAGTGCTTTATTTTCCCATTTTGCAAACTGTGATCAATAACAGTAACATTTGGTTCATAGATTTGTGAGAACTGAATGTGATAATACATGAGAAGCATTACAAATAGTCCCTTGGTCCAAATTAGCCAAATTAGCCTTAGAAATACATGCTATTATTATTATTATTGATCTAAAAGAAAGAACTAAATGAACTGTGTGCCTTTTCTTTTCTTGTCTAATGATTATATTTATAAGTTTATATTTTTTTAGTTTTTAAAGATTTTTAATTGTTATTCTATTATAGTTGTCCCAATTTTTTCCCCTTTGCCCTCCTCTGCCAGTTGAATTATTTTGGAAAAGGGATATAAAAAATGTGTGTCACTTTTCACACAAAAAGCTAAAATTTCCTAAATATATAAGTCACTTGTTTCTCATACAGCTTAAATTTCCTAAAGAAAACTAGCATATCTTCTTTAGATTTCTGAGTTAAAGAACATACTTTATGCATTTTAACTAGCTATTAAACTGTAAATTAAAGGATGAGATATTAGTTGCAAAATCCAAAGGAAAACCATAAAGTCATAATTTTTATAGGTTTCATGTAAAAAAGTGTTTCAGCATTTATTCAACAAGTATTACTGTAACTTCAGTAAAAACATACAATATCTTAATCGAGTTTCTGTTACAACCTTCATAGTAACAATCTTCAACCAGTGTGCCGCACGAATTTTTAAAATACATGATACTTGACTGTTTAGTCAGGGACACTGACCTCTTTTCCCTTAGATTGTCAAATAAAAAATGACAACAGCCAATACAAAGCTGTCCATAGTGGATGAATCCAAATTATGTCTATTTTTGTCAGATCAGCACAAAATTTATTTCTCAGTATGCTGCAGAATTCTAGTTTGTGTGTGCCAGAAGAAAACTGCTGAAAACTGCTGCTTTGTTGCTTTCCCTCACCACAGCAATGGTGTAGTGCTGCCATCTAGTGAAACATCTATACCACTGCAGGGACATTTTTGAAAATCAATAAAAAGTCTCAAATTAAAGAACAAAATTACATTTTGTGCTCTTACATTTTAAATTTTGAAACTGTGTCTCAGAGTAAAAGTAATATTTTGGTATTACAAGGGAAATTATTTAAATGTAATATAAAATGAGATATAAAGAATACATAAAAGGCCCGACTTTGGGCAAGTATAATAGTGCACAATTATCAATATAAATACCACTCTGTGAAAGAATAATAAAAATTTTGTAAAGAGAAATATTTCATAATAACTCATTAGTCACAATGTTTAGTGTTGCATCAATGGAAATCTTTCTGAATGTGTTCTTAAGCTTAGACAAAAGATAGCAATTGCCCCAGTAACATTTTCAAAGCACAAAAGAACCAAAAAAAAATGAAAATAATATAATATCTTTCTATATATACCCATATAAATACACACAATTAAGAAACAAGGAAGCCATTATTATTTGTTGTTTTATAGTTCCGATTTGCTCAAGGTTAAAATCTGGCCAAGTCTGACCCAATGGGTAGAACTTCTAATTTCAAGTACAATGGTTTTGCTATCACTCAGTAGTGCCTCAGTAACTTAAGGCTTCTTCACAACATGAATGTCTGAACTAGATAAGGTGCTTTCATATGAAACAATGATCTAAAATACAAAGAGATATCATAAATTATGTAGTTTTGTACACTTTTCACATATAAGCATAAACAGGCAGGAAGGTAGGTAGGTAGATCATTTGAAAGAAACAGTTAAATTAGGGACCAAAGACACTGATAAAAAAGAGTACATTTGTGAGAAAGTGATTGAAGTGAACTCCAAAAGGCAAGCCCATCCCAATATTTGAGACCTGAAGCCTCCTAGAGCCCCTGGGTTGCAGTCCACTGGTCATCTCTTCCCATCTCAAGTGATGAGAAAGCTTCATGCACATGCCTCTAAGACGCCCAGTCCTCAAGTTCAAGCCAGGACCTGTGCCTCATACACACCCCACCTCCACCCTCATCAGCAGGCTCCCACATTTTGGAGCAAGAATTTGGAACTTCTGATACCTAGAATGTGTGAAAGCTTTGGATTTTGCCTTGATCCTCAGGCTCCTCACTTTGTGTAGGGGGGCAACTGTAAAAGGACAGTTGAAAGTCCACTAAAGTGTCTACTGGTGGTACTGGTGTGAGTGTGGTTTACAAAAGGACATATTTTATAACCTCTATAGAGTGAAGAGATGGTGTGTCATGATGGTGTTAGAGGATACCCTCACAACTGGCATTTTTCTTAGCTTGTGCATCCCAGGGTTATGCTGTAGAATGGAGAATACTGAACTTTCCATGGAAGCAAAGACAACAGGAATTAAGGGTAGCTATCATGATTTACTCCTGTCATGAGGGTCTTAAGTGAAAACTTAGCATCTCTGACTTGTGATGTCAAATATGGAGATCAATTTTCCCTTCAAATATAAGGAGTCTATTCTTCAGTCTGTTTTCATGTTGCACACAGGAATGTTCCAGATATAGACAGAATTATTTTATCATGTGCTGGCATATGTATTTACTCACCATGCTGTTCATTTTTGAAGACGATGAACCTGCTCTTTGCTTTCTTAGACTATTAACTTCTTCTGCATTTCCATCTTTTGTTTTCAAAATCATTCTGCTACTCCCTGCAGTTCCTTCTGATGAGGACCGCAGTCGTCTCTCTATAAATCTTCCTTCACGATATGGACTGAGGCTACTGGCAAGAACTATTAAAAAAACAAATAAAAATTAATGTAAATGTTTAAATGTGTTTTTTATAAATGTTCCACTGAAAGCATATGGGAAACCCTTAATGCCATTCAAAAATTCTCTATCACTATAATTTTTTAATCATAGTGCTAGTTTAGTTTACTTATTCATGTAATCACTTCAGAGCCCAAAATTTTTGGAATCATCCAAGGTATCTCTGTACCTCACAGAAATCACAGAAGCAAAATTCTGCACTTATTATCCTCAAATTGTATATAGAATCTGATCACTTTTTAAAATTACATTTATTGGGGTGACATTGGTTAATACAATTACATTGGTTTCAAGTGTACAATTCTGACACATCATCTGTAGACAGCATTCTGTGCCCATCCCCCAAAGTCAAATCTTCTTCTGTCATCATGTATTTGATCCCCTTTACCCCTTTAGTATCCACCACCCCCTCCTCTCTCTTTTCTGTGTCTCTGAGTTTTTGTTTGTTCATAAGTTGCTTTCAGTATTATATCCCATATCCCATATATGAGTTAAATCATATGGGTTTTGACTTTTTCTAAATTAATTCACTTAGCATGATAGTGTGAAAATCCATACGTGTTGTCACAAAAGGCAGTATTTTCTCTTTTCTTATGCATGAGTAGAAATCTACTGTATACATGGTCCACATCTTTTTTATCCAATCACGATCACTTTTTTAAAAATAATTTTTATTGCTGTTCAAATACAGTTGTCTCCATTTTCCCACTACCACTTTCCCCAGCCCCATACCTCTACCTCCCACCCTCCATCCTTCCCTCCTTTGGCTTTGTCCAGGGGTCCTTTATACATGTTCCTTGATGACCTTTCCCTTTCTTTTCCCCACTATCCCTCTCCTCCCTCCCCTCTGGTTACTGTCAGTTTCTTCCTTATTTCCAAGTCTCTGGTTATATTTTACCAGCTTGTTTGTTGTGTTGATTAGGTTCCACTTACAGGTGAGATGATATGGTATTTGTCTTTCACCTCCTAGCATAATGCTCTCACTTAGCATAATGCTCTCCAATTCCATCCATGCTGTTGCGAAGGGTAAGAGCTTTTTCTTTCTTTCTGCTGCATAGTATTCTATTGTGTAAATGTACCATTGGTTTTTGATCCACTTATATACTGATGGGCACGTGGTTGCCTCCAGCATTTGGCTATTGTGAATCGTGCTGATATGAACACTGAGGTGTATAGGTTCTTTTGAATTAGCATTTCAGGGTTTTTAGGGTATAACCCAGCAGAATTGTCAGGTCAAAAGGCAGTTCCAGTTTTAGTTTCCTGAGGAAATTTCATATTGTTTTCCATGGTGGCTGCACCAGTCTACATTCCCACCAACAGTGCACTAGGGCTCCCTTTTCTCCACAACCTCATCAGCATTTGTTGTTTATTGATTTATTTATGATGGCCATTCTGACCAGTGTGAGGTGGTATGTCATTGAAGTTTGAATCTGCATCTTTCTGTTGGCTAGTGATAGTGAGCATCGTTTCACATGTGTCTGCAACTTTGTATCTCTTCATTGGAGGAGTGTCTGTTAAAATCCTTTGCTCATTTTTTATTTAGATTGTTCATCTTCCTGGAGTTGAGTTGTGTGAGTTCTTTACATATTTTTTAAGATCAAACCCTTGCCAGGGTATCACTAGCAAATATATTTTCCCATACAGTTGGTTCTATTCTCATTTTACTGATGTTTTCTTTAGCTGTGCAGAAGCTTTTTATTTTGATTGAGTCCCATTTGTTTATTCTTCCCTTATGTCCCTTGCTCTAGAGGACATACAGATGAAAATATTGCTGCATGGAATATCTGAGATTTTCCTGCCTATGCTCTCCTCTAGGATTTTTATAGCATCCTGACTTATATTTAAATCTTTTATGCATCTTGAGTTTATTTTTGTGTAGGGTGTAAGTTGGTGGTGAAGTTTCATTTTTCTGTATATGGCTATCCAGATCTCCCAACACCATCTGTTGAAGAAGTTATTTTTATTATATTTTATGCTTCTGCTCCCTTTGTCAATTATTAATTGACCATAGAGACTTGGTTTTATTTCTGGGCTTTCTATTCTATTCCATTGATCTATGTGTCTTTTCCTATGCCAGTACCAGACTGTTTTGATTACAGTGGCTTTGTAATATAGTTTGATGTCAGGTATGGTGATCCTTCCTACTTTGTTCTTCTTTCTCAAAATTGCTGAGGGTATTCCAGGTCATTTATGGCTCCATATAAATTTTTGAAATGTTTGTTCTATGTTTGTGAAATATGCCATTGGTATTTTAATAGGGATTGCACTGAATCTATAAATTGCTTTAGGCATTATGGACATTTTAATGATGTCAATGCTTCCAATCCATGAACATGGTATATGCTTCAATTTATTTGGGTCTTCCTTAATTTCTTTCTTCAGAGTTGTGTAGTTTTCTGACTACAGGTCTTACTACCTCCCTCATTAATATCTTTGACTCAACTTCATCAATGCTAGCCTAGATTACTGCAGTACTTCCAATAATCTCCTGCCTGTGCCTACACCCATCTGTTTCCCCCACCAACACACAATCTACTTTTGACACAGTATCCAGAATGGTACACTTAAAATGTAAGTGAGATGAATCACAATCACTCCTCTAGTCATAAAGCTGATGTTTTCCCAATAGTCAATCAGGTTCCTCATAACATGACCCTCCTCTCCACCTTACACCTGGGGGCCTACCCATCATTTATCTGTCACACCTCTAACTTCATGTTCTTCTGCTGCTGCTGCTCCTTCTCACCCTTCCCTATGCTTATGCTGCACTAGACCTCTTGCTCCCCCTAGAAAATTTCAGGCATGCCCCAACTAATAGCCTTTGTACTGATAAACATTTCTCACATATTTATATATCTTACTATCTAATCACCTTCAAGTTTTTGTCAATATGTTACCTTAAGTAATACCCTGCTCACACTTAAAAATGCAAATTACACTGAACTATCAAAGTTAAAATTAAGAAAGCCATTTATAGTAGCATCAAAAACAATAAAATGCCTAGTAATAAATATATTCAGGTACAAGATGTCTACATTGAAAAGATGTCTACATTGATGAAAGGAATTGAAAAGAAAACACAAATTAATTGACAGATACTCCATTTTATGGACTGGAAGAATTAATACTGTTAAAATATCCATGCTACCCAAAATGATTTATAGATTCAATGCAATACTTATCAATATTACAATGGCATTATTCATAGAACTAGACAAAAACTCTGAATTTTGTATGGAACCAGAGAAGACCTCAAATGGCCAAAACAATCTTGACAAAGAAGGACAAAGCTAGAGGGATCACACAACCTAATTTAAAATTGTATTACAAATCCACAGAAATCAAAACATTGTGTGGTATTGACATAAAACAAATACATATATCAATAAAATAGAATAGAGATCTCAGAAATAAACTCATACATATGCGGACAATTAATTTTTGACAAAGAAGCCAAGAATATATGATGGAGAAAGAACAGTCTCTACAATGAATGGTATTGGGAAAACAGATAGCAACTTGCAAAATTATGAGCCTTGACCCCTATGTTACACCACAAACAAAAATCAACTCAAAATGGATTAAAGAGTTAAATGTAAGAGCTTAAACTGTAACACTGTTAGAATAAAACACAGACAGTAAGATCTTTGACACAGGTCTTGGCAATGACATTTTTGGATTTGACACCAAAGGTAAAGGAAACAAAAGCAAAAATAAGTGGGACTGCTTCAAACTAACAGACTTCTGCTCAGCAAAACAAAGAATCAACAAAATTAAAAGGCATCCTATGGAATAGGAGAAAATATTGCAACCTATAAGCAGTTAATATCTAAAATATACAAAGACCTCAACCAACTCAATAGCAAAACAAAAGCAAAAACAGTAACAATGGCCCCCACATACAAATACAAAACCTAACAGACATTTTCTGAAGACTTACAAATGGCCACCAGGTACATTAAAAGGTATTCAATATCACTAATCATCAGGGAAACTCAAATCAAAATCATGATGAGATATCACCTCACACCTGTTAGATAGCTATTATCAAAAAGTCAAAAGATAAGTGTGTCAAAATGTGGAAAAAGGGAAACACACTGTTGGTGGGAATGAAAACTGGTAAAGCCACTGTGAAAAAGGGTCTGGAGTTTTATCGAGAGATTGAAAATAGGACTACCACACGATCCAGGAGTTCTATATTTGGGTTTGTGCAAAGGAAATAAAATTATTAACTCAAAGAAAGAGTTACATTGCCATGTTTATAAAACATTCTGTGCAATAGCCAAGGTAAGGAAACTACCTAAATGTGTCATATGTGTCAACATGGATGAACCTGGAGAACATTACGCTAAGTGAAATGAGTCAGATGGAGAAAGAAAAATACTGGATGGTATTGTTTACATGTGGAATCTAAAATAAATAATTAAATAGAGCAAAAATGCTGAACTCTCGAGTGGCTGCCAGGGGCTAGGAGGTAGGAAGAAAAGGGTAGATTAGTAAAAGGGTACAAACTTTTAGTTATAAAATGAATAGGGTCTGAGATCTAATGTATAACAAGGTGACTGTATTTGAAACATTGTAGCACATAATTGAAGTTTGCTAAGAGAGTATAACTTACATATCCTCACACAGAAAAAAAGGTAAATGTGTGAGGTAGTAGATATGTTAGCTAAATGGTAGAAAATCCTTTTACAATGTATACATATATTTAATCACTATGGAATTTACATATTTCACACTCAATAAAGCTGGAAATAAATACAAAATCCTACTCCCCATTTTCTACTTGTTTATTCTGGTTTAAACTTATCCTTGGCAGTTACCACCATATCTCATTTATTTATTTGTATATTAATTATCTGAGTATCCCCAGTAAAAGTAAGCTTCAGGAATGTAGCAATGTATGCTTATTTTGTTCATTGTTTTATCTCTAGTGCTTAAAACAGTGCCAAAACAAACATTTGTTGAATCAATGATTACATGAGAGAGTGTGTGAGTGAATAAATGAACTGTTCTATATAGACTCATCTCCTGAATTGAAGATTTTTGGCCAGACCCTAGCAGGAAAACACAGAGTTTTTTTTTTAGGTAACTTTTTAAGTCAATGAGTAAAAATTAAATTACCAGAGATATCAACATTACATTATTAATTCTGATTTGATTGTAGACCTAATATACCCAGATATTTACTAAATACTAGCTTGAATAGGTTTCATAATAAATACAGAATAAATTTAGTATTATGGAATTTAGTGTGTATAGTAACTCTCTCTTACAAAAAACATACTTAACTGATTTTAAAATGCTAAGCTTCCATATTACAAAATCCTTATGAATAGCAGGCGAATATGCCCACAATTTGAGGATAGTGTATTATCACCTTTTCCTTGTTGACATTATCAACTTATTTGTCTATGATTACTTTACAAGTTTTAAGTAATATAAATAAATAGCTAATGTCCAAATACAGGCAACATATCGACAAATTCAGCAAAATTACTTTAATATGTTAAATAGTTTGTAATTGGGATCACAGTCAACAGATTAATAGGAAGGTCATTGTTGGTCACTCTCTAGGTTCCACAGAAATAAACATATACAATATTCAATCTTACACTGAGACAAGCCATCATTTCTAAATCAGAATCAGAGATAATCATGATAATTATAATTCTGCCTATTTTTGTGCTATTCCTTTAAAAATCTGCCAAGAGGTCAATCTGAGATCCACCATTTCTTAACAATGTGATCTCATAGTTATTTAACTTCATCCTAAACCTTAGTTATTAATAACTGCCACACAAAACTTTGGTTAAAATTAAATGAAACAATTCATGCAAACTCCTTAATACATTTTTGACACATATTAAGTTTACAAAAAGGGTGTCCATTGTTCGTCTATTCCTCATAATCATTCTTATAATTATAACATTAAAGAATTAAGCAGGTATAACGAGAGCCAAAAGCATAAGCAAAGCTAAGATTAAAAAAATTAAAAAGTAGTCAGATATATAGAAGTGATTTGCATCAAATGTGAAAAATATTAAGCTATACAATTATGTCACTGAATAATTAATTCATGCATTTAAGAGTTTAAAATTGCCATAATCATACAGGGACTAGTTAGATAAATCATGAGTTATTATTCCTGACATTGTAATATATAATTTGACATATATAAAAATATTATTTTACATTTTAGTGTTATTCTTAATGTTTTGGGAAGAGCCAGGGTCATAATGTGTATTACAGACTAGCCATTAAGAGCCTGAGCTTTGGCCCTGGCTGGTGTGGCTCAGTGGATTGAGTGCAGGCCTGGGAACCAAAGTGTTGCCAATTTGATTCCCAGTCAGGGCACATGTCTGGGTTGTGGGTCAGGTCCCCAGTGGTGAGCACACGAGAGGCAACCACACATTCAAGTTTCTCTTCCTCTCTTTCTCCCTCCCTTCCCCTAAAAATAAAAAAATAGCCTGAGCTTTGGACTGAAGTAGTTTTAATTGGCTGTGCCACTTACCTGCTGTATGATCCCTTGGTCTGAGGTTTCACATCTGTTAGCTGGGGAACATACTAATGCCAACCTCATAGGGTCTTTATCCTAAACAATTGCATACAGACTGCTTTGTGACTTTGGACACATGACATAAACTACCTGTGCTCCAGTTGTCTTTCCTGTACAATGGGTTACAGTAATGGGAGTGATTTCAGTCATTTGAGGCTGCAAAGAATTAATGGATCTATACAAAGAGCACAGAACAGTGAGTGGAACATAAAAATCATTCAATGTTGGAAGAACTAGTAGGAATAGTAATAGCAGTAATAGTGGAATATATATATTTCACTAAAAATTCTCCATCATAAACTCTAAAAAAGATAGCTCTTGTTTTAGATAAAGCCACACTGAAAATAAAATTAGTTCCCTTTCACTTTCTTCTAAGGGTCAGATTCTGGATAGCATAACTAAGAAAAATGAGGAATATTGAGGAATTAAACTTTCAGCATAATACAACTGAAGCAAGTTTAAGATCAAGTACTAAAAAGATTTAAAATTATAACTAGGAAAGAATATTAGACAGTAAAAATAAGAAAAATGTGGATTCAATTAATGAGATGAACATTAAATAAGCATAATAAAAATTATACTCTATACTTATTAAACAAAGAAAATCAGCCTACCTTTGGCAGGATTTGCATCATATCCACATGTTTTGTTAAAAATATGATGATCCCCAGAAGAAGGTATTATTCTCGAGTCTGATACAGGATGGATCCCTTTAACACGTTCAGCTATTGCTTTATGTTGCTCATAAAATCCGAGTTTCCTCGGGGAGCTTGTCACCAACATTGTATCACCATTCTGTAAGACTACATGCTCTTCTCCTTGAGTATCTGCTGATAGGTGAGTCTCTGAGTCACTCCCATTGGTAACAGGGAGTTCAGTGACTTGCAATAATACTTCCTTCTGATTAGCAGCAGAGGATTCTGGTAAGGAATTAGATTCAGTGCTACAACGACCTACTAACCTATATTTCCCAGGAGACATAATTGCACAGGAAACAGTTCCCATAGGGTCTATTGTTGCCTTTGTAACAGCAGCAGGACTGGGAGAGACCTGAGAGGTAGAATCATTGTGGCCAAAGTTGTCGCAGTGGGATGCCATGCTTCCACTTTTAGAAAATGCGTCTGCTTCAGACACAGAATCTTCAGTCAAGGCTAAAAACTCTGAAGGTGTCTGAGCTGTGGTAAGATCAGCAGAAAGCAAAGGAGATTGTAAAGAGCTTCCTGCCCGTTCTGTTACATCCACAGAACAAGATGGAGAAGCTCTTACTAATTCAGGTTCTCTCTCTTGGTACTGTGTAGTTTCCAATGAGAATTCAGACTGTTGATCCAATGAAATGGATTGACTCTGTGGAACTGGTTTAGAAAATTTATAGTGAGATGAAAAAGATTTAGTAAGCAGCTTTTTTGTTGACTGCTTAACAGAACGACGAGTTTGCTCTTCTGTGAATCCAGAATCATCCCCCTCACTTTTGCCGGAACTTAGGCAATTTATAAAGACATTCTTATTAGTTGAGTGTTCCTTTTCCCTTTCAAAATCCTCTGTCAAAGATCTTGTTATCTTCTTATTTCGTGAACTACTAAAACCAACAGAATGTCTTCCTCTGATTTTAATATTTTCTTCCAAACTCAGTTTTTGCATACTGCTGTGACCAGGTTGAGCACCATTTGAAATACTAAGGTTCTGGTTGGTAGGTTCTTGCTTAGGTTCACTCCCCTTCTTATGGTGGAAGCTAATGGAAGGAGTACGGAATATGCTCCTACGTTTACCTGTACTACCTGAGCTTGAGTTAGTGCTGGAAGGAGAGGAACTGTGGACACCAGCTGTGTTACTGGAAGAGGGCGAAGAAGGAAGAGAATCATGTCTTCTGCTAATACTTCTTCTGAATATTGGCAACCGAGAGACCAGAGTAGATCGTCTTGATCCCGAGTCCCCCATTGGGACCCCAAAGCTTGCACTGTGATAGCCAACTTAGCAGCCTGGGAAAAGTTAAGACAAAAAGAACAAGTCAATAGAATTCAATTGTAAGTAAGACATTTTAAAATAAAGCATTGTTCTTCAACACACAGAATACAATTAGGTTTACATTAAAACAATAAATAATACAATTATAATACTTAAGGATTTCTTAAAAATTTACAAGTAGCAAAATTATCCACTATTCTGCATAGCAATTTAATAATGGTGCAAAATTTTCAAGATTACCCATAATATTTAAAGTCTATTAAAAAAAGGGGGGGTTGGGAGACACAATATCATGATTCAAGACCCAGTCTTACCATTCACACTGGTTCTATAATTTGGTACATTGTATAATCTTAACTGTTGATGTCTATTTGCTTAGATATAGTAGACATGTGATAGCCATGGGCATCGCCCTCTGGGTAAACGCCCCACCACTGTCTGTGATAGACCACAGATTCAACAAGTGATCCGCCTGAGCTTAACAGAATCACACAGCAACCTAAGGTATGACCTGACACTAGAAACTCACTCATGGAATAAACAACTAGGATGTATTCTTCCCCTTGGTGTTTCACCAGGCCTTTAGAGATGGTAAGGCCAATGTCAGAGGCAACTAAACCACAAAGGATATAGTTTAGAGTTATAAGCAAGACAAAGTTATGAAGAAACCACAACTGAGTTGAAGGCCTAATTGAAAGCTAATTCAACTGGTAATGTTGAGACAAACAAGAATGCAGACTGAGAGGAACAGAAGCACATAAAATTTCTGAACCACATTAATATCACAGAAAGAAAAAAGAAGAGGAGAATGGAGTTCATCAGCTCTGATCTACTAAGTACTTTTACACAGCTTATCTCTTTTAATGCTTCTGACTGTAGAAGTAGATAATATCACCATGGACATTTTACAGCAGAAAGGTAACTTGCCTAGTGTCATTCAGCTAGTAAGTGGTAAAGCAGGAGTAAGAAACTAAGCCTTATCTAACCACAGGGTCAGCTCATGACAGCATGGTACCTACAGTTTTCACAGGAGTGAAGAGCCCAGACCTTGCGTTGCTCAAGGCCCAGATATGCTTCCACTTCCCCTGAAGTCGTATGGGCAATCTTGCTATTCTGGTGACTTCCATTTTTCACTGGTTTTCATAATATATCATGATTTGGTTCCTGTTTTGTTTTGCTTTGTTTCTAAATTTTACTTAATGCCTTAACTAGTATAATGCACATGCTCTCTTTGTCAACTTGACTGAGGCTCTGTTTCATGTTGTTGCTTTTTTTTCTTAATTTTGTTGTATTCTGAGGACATTTTTTTCATTGCTTTTATCCACAGAGGAAGGTCCAAAGAGCATGGTTGCTTCCTATATGCACCCAGAATAGGGATCGCATGCACCCAGACCAGGGATCAAACTTACAACCCAGGCATGTGCCCTGACAGGGAATCAAACCCGCAACCCTTCAGGTACGGGACAACATTCCAACCAACTGAGCCACTCTGTAGAAGTCTGTTTCATTTTTGTTGTTTTTGCAACTAAAACCAAGCAATAACAAATACAACATAAAATGACAAGCCTTCCATTTTATCATCCTTACTGATATATTTTTAGTTTGAACAAGTAAAATACTTCCATGTCCTTAAAGAAGTGTGTGATAAAAATGGAAAACATTTGTTCTTTCAGGTATGCCTATATATATAGTTACTATTTTGTTCCAAAAGATATAAAATCTAACAGTTTTGCATTATATGATTTTTAGATTGATTTTGAATTCCACTCACTGAATTTGAATTTAAATCAAACTATGCATGAACCACACCCAATATATTTAAGCATTCTTGTAAGGCTTTGGTTGAAAAAACCTTAAAATATAAAAAAGACATTTTAGCTCTTGAAGTCTTGCAGAAATTAAAAATATTTCATTTTCCTCCCAGCTTAAGTTTCCAAAGTAGATACAGAATACAAATTTTTCATGATCTCACTTATAATAATGCTTTAATGAACATCATTCTCAGCTGTGATTTTTCATTTATATGCAAGATTTGTTCCCAATGTCCAGTGAAGATTTTGTTCTAATTACAGCATTATCAACCATAATGATATGCAGCTGTGGTGAACCTATGGCCTTCAATGCACTTATTTCAAGATATTTATCATTTTTATTGAAACAGTTTCAGAATTTATATATATTAAAATATTTCTGGGCCTCTTTTTATTTTTTGCATTTGTATCAGCATCTAAAAATAAAAGAGTGACTCAAGTTCCATATATTTTTAGGAAGTATTCAAAGAATTTAATTTAAAAATTCAGAAAACATAATAATTACTCCTCTTCCCAAGTACTTAATGAAAATGACCAGGCTTCCCCTGGGTACAATAATCCATTTAGGCTACTAATATATTTTTCATAATTTCTTTAAGTCATACATCACAAAGATACTAAGAAATATTTGCACATTGAATTGATGACATGGAGTGAATATAAAATATATTAGAGACACAAATCATTCAGATGTCACTTTGTTTACTGATAATTTTTAAATGAAGTTCTTTATTTCCTACTGAAAACTTTCCAGCTAAACAAGACACAAATAAAAATATCTATACTTTGGAATTATCCATATTTTCTTAGATAGACTCTTTAAGGCCTATACACTATCTATTCAATACATGTCCAGATTCACTCTTCCTCTCCTTACATTTCATTCTCTAATCACACTGATTATACTTTCCATTTTCTGTCCACTTTCACCTGCTGGGCATCTGCAGATGTGGGTCCACCTGCCTGGGATGCCTTTCTTGGAATTTTGGTGTCAACACTCCTATTTCTATAACATCACCCCTGCCAGGATGCCATCCCTGTCCCACCCTTCCCACCCTCCTCCATTTTAGATGGAATACTCCTTTATGAACCCTCAAGTATTATTTTATATAGTAAACATCTGCTTATTTATCTGACTTTACTATTTTTCTTTTTTAAAAGATTTTATTTATTTATTTTTAGAGAGAGAGAAGGGAAGGAGAAAGACAGGGAAAGAAACATCAATGTGTGGTTGCCTCTCGTGCACCCTAAACTAGGGACCTGGCCCACAACCCAGGCTGGGAGTCAAACTAGTAACCCGTTGGTTCACAGGCCTGCACTCAATCCAATAAGCTACACCAGCCAGGGCTGACTTTACTATTTTCCGTAAGTTCCTTAGTAGCAAAGCCCACCTCTGCTTTGCATTAAGTCCCAATGCCTAATATAATACAAAATTGATACCCACAGAATAAATGGATGTCCAAACATGAGGTTTTAACTTGAACACATCAGTATTCCAAACATAAATGATCATGTTTTGTCTTGTTACCATAAATAAATGCTAGAATTCAAGGTTAATTGTGCTGAATTACAACTTTAAAAGATTCACAAGTTGAAAGCATTTCGAACTGTAATAGTATTCAGTAATCTAACATCAGCTAACATATGAAAATACAATGCCGAATAAGTTTAATAGAACAGTATATCATCACAACTTTAATTATTAATGAAAGACAACTAGAACATTACACCATATTAATTTTATTTTTATTATAATTAGAACAATTACCTTTAATTCCTTTTACCAATCTTGAATTACCAACCTTGAATTACCAACCTTGAATATATTTTCATATACTTTTATAAATTTCCAAATCAGACAAAATAAATACATTTTCTCAGCCCTCCTCTACTATTTCTCAGTTCAGAAGTCATAGTCATTTCAAACATAACATTTCCTAAAAATATACAGGTTGGACTAGATCTTCCCATTGTCTAGAGACCTTTACAAAACCATAAACATTATATTCTTTGGAAATGCACATTCATTATATATAATGAGGGTATACATAAAAGAGGGTCTTCTAATTATATCTTTTAATCTGTATAAATAAGCAAAAAATATCAACTTGTAGGCAATATCGTTACACAGATGCATACTGACCCTATAGAAGTGGTGTCAAACTCAGTGTGACCTCAACTGAAGGAACAACATCCCTTGTTTTCTAGCACCAAAGCTCACAAAACTCCCAGACTATCTCCTTCAGTGCCGTCTCAGCAAACACTCTAGCTGCCCTTTACAGAATGCAACATCCTATGATGGATCTAGCAACATCCTATGATGGATCTTTCTTCTCATTGGAAGAAAATGACAGGGGGATTTGTTTGGCATGGTTAAGGATGATGCAGATTCCAGTTGAGGTGGTTACAGAAATTGTTAATATGTTACCTATTTAAAGTTAGAGTAAGCATAAAATACATTGAAGAAATAAGAAACACTGCAAAAAGAAAAAGACTTCCATGATTCCAAAGGCATAAAACAACCTTGCAGGAATTCAGAGCTATCATCTTGGAAACTTATTACCATACATACAAACAGGGATGTCTTTCTGTGGATGTGAAAGAAGCAAAACAAAACCCCCCTCCCATTTTTCTTTCCCAGCATTTTTCAAAAATTCCCCTAGAATTTTGACAACCCTCACATTTTTTCACCATGAGACAAAGGTGATAGTCACCTTATGTCCACATCTGAGATAGTGCTAAGTATCCTTTGTCTTTCTCCCCAAACTGATGGTATTTTTTTTTTTGGGGGGGGGAGCAAAACTAAACAAAAAATACCTCTGACACACACTTGCAATTAGCAAAAAATAAAAATAAAAAAATAAAATTGATTTCAAATCTGAGCTCTGCCATGTACTAGCGGCATAAACTAGAATACAGGTAATTATTTTAGAGTGATTTCTTTTAAGGATGAGAAGGTGCAACATAGAGAGAAATTTAATACTCCTCCTGGTATAGAGTATGTTTTCAGTTTCTTCCTTTCCTATGAAATACATTCAGACAAGCGGTGCATGGTGGCACAGCACACACACAGAGTACTTATGAAAATGAGCCACTTTTCAAAATCTATCCCACACCCTATGTCTAACAAAACGACCTAAAATATTAGGGGGAGATACATAAATTGACATCAGTATGCTAAAACCTTATGGTGAACCTTCCCA